ACCTCGTTTTCGCAACTTTGTTGTGTTTCCATGGGAACCCAGTTCGACTTACCTTATGCAAAGTCCTCTGCTATAGTGGTTGCCATCATTCCTAGTGTTGGACAGCGTACGAGAAGGTACCAAGTCCATAGTCTGAAGCTGGGTACTATCATAACTACTAAGTGTAATCAAACCAATCGGTCAGCACAAAAGATATGAAAGACTATAGGCGCTAGCACATTATTAATAAAGTAAGAGGGGTATGAATGTAAAAACCAATCATAGGCAGATATTGTGATCCAGTGACTGTGAAAATCATAGTGGTGATAAAAGCAATTAAAAGGGATTATACTCGGAATAAATATAGTGTAGGGACGGGGTATCTATAAATTCACAAAAATTGATAAAACAATTAAAAATGTTGAGTTTATGGAAAAGTAAAACGTAAGACGCAATCTATCAGCGTCCTTACAATTAGCAGATCACGCTAAATTTATCTGGATTATAGAAACTCTTTTTAATTGAGATTTTGAACTCAAAAAACGGCTAAAACTAAATAAGCAAGTAAAAATGAAGGAATTAATGTGCTAAGTACTTAGGCCGGATTTTTTACACCTTAGATCGAAAAAGGTAGCATTTTCGCAAGACAAAATTTGTTTCACTGCAGGCAAAAACATGAAAGCAAAAGCTATCAAAACTAAAATTATAAGTACAGACACAAATTTTAAGAGAAAAGTTAAAAGTAAATTCAAAATGGTGAACAACCGAAACCAATTTCTATAGACCAAAACAATTCAATTCAGCAAATAGCTATGAGGAAATATATTAAATTAGAATACTTCGCATCGATGATATAAAGATGAAGTAGCGTATTGCATGATTTAACAACGTCATGTTAAACCAGAAGTTTACTAAGCTCATACCAATGAAGCAAAAAAGCTCTATTAGCCAGCGCAATGCAAAGAATAAGCTGAGCGAAAAAACACATTTTATTAGTGGAGAAAAAAGTAAAGCACTTTGTTCTCTTTAAGAACTTGCTCCAGAGATATCCTTAGTTCATTTGTAAAAATCACCGAAAAAATTCCTCAAATAAAGTTTAAATCTAAACTATAGAACATATATTTCGTTTATAAGTGGGTTTTCGAGACTACTAGTAGATCAAATAAATTAGATGTATTAAACCAATTTTGTTAAAGGCGATAAAGGGACTGATAGCTCAATTTTCACACAATCAGCTGAGTACACCTTACGCTTCGATTCACTTTCACATAGCCTTGCTTTTTCAAAATGTATACTCGTCCAGGCAGGATTTGAATGCAGATTTGCTCTCGCCTGAACTGATCTCATCAGCACTCTAGGTGGGGCTCGAACCTGGGTTGTGCACAGTAGAGTCTTGACTCATTAAACACTACGCCATACTATACCCCTGGGTCACAGGGCTAATGGGAATTTCAAGGAAATTAGCTCATTTCTCATATCAAATTTGGATGTAGGACTGTCGATGAAGCAAAGTTGTATTCGCTATAGCAATCAGCTACATTACTTATTTTCTGTTTATAAGTAGGCCATTGAGATTACGAATAGATTACATAAATGAAATACATTTACCCTATTTCGTTTAAGATAAGCAAGGTCTGATAGCTGAGATAATCACAATCATATCATTCAGATCGCATAGGCTCAAAAGCCTAGTTACAAACGAAAAATAAGTAATGTAGTCAATTCCTATAGCAAATATGATCTTGCTTCATTGACACTCCCAACAAAGTATGTGATATGGAAAAAAGCCTGGCTTTTCTTGAAGTTTACACCTTCCCTGTCAACCAAGGCAACTCGGGGCAGTGTGACGTAGTGGTAAACCTGATGAGACTATACGCGGCACCATCATGGCTCAAGTTCTGCTGATGATGCTGATGAGACCAGTTCAGGCAAGGTCGAAAAGTCAATCAATTTCAGCCTGGATGAGAATACGTTTTCCAAATCAACGTTATAGTGGAATTTTCACTGTGTAGTATGTATTTTATCCATAAAATGTATTCACCCTATCTCGCTTAAAGTTACAATTGGACTGGTAGTTGGAATTTACCAAAATTATATAAGTTGACATTAAGTTTCCATTAAATTTCAAATAGCCTTGTTTTCCCAAAGGTTATCCTGAACCAGGCAGACCATGCCTGAACTGGTCTCATCAGCATACCCAGCTGGATTCACTACCATGTCATGAGGGTTGTGTTGTATTGACACTTACCCCTCCACTAGACGGTCACGGATGCCAGTCACAGGACAGATGCGACAATCAAGGCAAGCAAGGCCTGTTTCAACACATTTTTAATAGTGAGATTGTCGATTTAAATCGACGACGCTACTCATTTTCTATATAAGTAGTTACTTATTGAATTCCACCTGATTATGGGAAAACTTAAATCACATTATGCCACATCGGCCGATTAAGCTGTCATTAAATTAGTGACGATTCCCTGTAAAACTATTTAGGTCGAAAATCAACAAAGACCTATTTGTGCTGGTCAACTTGTAGCTTACCCTCGTAGAGCAAGAGAAAGTGGATGAAAATAGCCCAGCCACATCAGAAGTACTCACCACTGCTGTCCTGTGTGTCGGCCATTGCATGACGAATCTTCATCTCCTCCACAATGCGGGCTTCCAAGTTGTACTGAGCCACATACGCGTCGAATTCACGCAGAAGAAGGTTCAAATATTCATTTGAGGCGGTAAAAATGCTCAGGCTTAGGGCGTTCATTTCAGCTGTCGCCTTTTTCGTCTGTAGTTTGGTGAGTCTGAGCAATTCGATCACATCGAATGGCGACTTGTTGTCAGGCGGCAGGGCGACCAATTCAATAGCGATGATCTTATCCAATGCTGACTGAATACGGAAAGTACGAATGTCGTTGGCCTGCTGTAGCATCAGCTCGAACTCGCCAAGCGCCTTCAAGACAGACTAAGCAAAGTTGAAAGCAAATGAAAAAGGCTTTTAAGGGTGATAGTATAGAAGATGCTGATTATGTCTAGCCAAAACTTTAAAAGCCTAGATCACTAATAAAGTTATATTTATTATGGCAATCGACGACATTATTTATTTTTCGTTTACAAGTAGATTATTGAGACTACCAATGGGTCATTTGTATATGAATTTGTAGTTTCTAAAAACTACATATAAATGAAACAAATATGATATTGTTATTAAATAGTCGAAGTAAAGTGAATGGCGGAAAGCATGCTATTAGCCAGACCCATTTTTCGTTTGTTAGTAGGTTTTCGAGGTTGACAATAGATGAGATGCATTCATGTCATTTAGTTTAAGGTAATAAAGGGACTTTTTGTTGAATTTTTTTATAATCATATGAGCAAACATTACTTTCCCATTTAATTTTATTTATCCTTGCTTTTCCAGATAGTATTATCAGCTCGGCACGATTGAACTGGACTTTCAACCTCGCATCAGCTCTCTCAGCGGGACTCGAACCATGACAGTGCAATGTATACTATCGACACTCTAATCGCTAGGCCACATTGCCCCAAATGCCCTTGAGTGAGAGAGAGGATGTGCATTTCAAGTAATACAAGGAATTTTCCAATATCGCATTATATAATGGGAATGTCGATTAGGCAAAGTTATGTTGCCATGGTTCGAGTCCCGTTGAGAGTCCCAGTTCAGGCGAGGTCGAAGCTGCAGTCAACTTCAGTTTGAATAAACATGCCTTTGGGAAAAGTGAGGCAATGTGAAATGCAATGGAAATTTCATGTCTAGTCGTATCATTGTTAAAAATGCAATTATCACTCCCCTTATCACCCTAAACGAAATAGGACGAATGCGCCTAACATATTTTAATTATGCTTTTATATTCTATTTACTATAAAACTCTAGATCTTCATAAATTCATTATTTATGCAATCTTTTCCAATGAACTTCTGCATATATCACCACTTCTGAGCTCGCTTTCCTTCGATCTTCTGGAACCATATGCTTTCACTTCACAAATAATATAGGATGATACAAGAATAGAATTGTCTATCGCACATGTTATCGAAGACTAAATGGATGAAAACTAGTTGTATTAATCCGAAAAAGGTTAGAAAGTCAGTCATCAAAGGGCGCATGGTTCCACAATAATACGACAAGCGCCAAGTGCTGATGGAATTTATAAAGAAACCAATGCTTCGAGTCACAACCTTTATGTCACGCTTGTACAAAAATTAATGCCTAAGTGCTTGGCTCTCCAAGATTCAATGCCTAAAGAGCTGATTCTGCGTGAAACTCAATGCTAGACCATGCAAATTGCATCAACTTGCTTCTTCAGCAGACATTCTGTTATACTTGCCTTCTCGTCTTTTTAATCCAATTGGCCGAATGAGGTTTATATGAACAAAATACTGGGTCTCTGTCTTTTCTTCGTCAGCTTTGTCATGCAAGTTGTGCAAAAAGACCTAGACGGCAGGTAATCGGAGAAATGAAAGGCTTTCTAAGTGTAAGGATACCACAAGCATGCATCGGCAGCTGTCGGAAAAAGGATAAACTTTGAAAAACCATTCAAGTGATCATTGATAAGCGAATTTTAAGCCTAATGCTCAGACTAATTTGGAACGGTGATCTCTCTCTTTAGCCTTTATTTCTTTATGATAATTAAAAAGCTGAGGAAGCTGGTCTCATGAGCCTTAAACATTTTCAAAATTGTCACGTATAAAAGGACTCATCTGTAGATGATGAAGTGGAGTTGATGATACTCAAGTCTAGTCGTTTGGAGACTATGAACTATTAAAACTTCATTTTTCGAATAAACTATTGTTTTCGCGACTACCAGTAAATCAGTAATATGATATGTATTCACCTAATCTCATATTACTGATTTACTGTTAGTCAAGAAAACAATACTTAATTCGAAAGATAAAGTATAGTAATTGACTGCTATAGCAAATATACATTTGCTTTATCGACAATTCTACCAAAAGAATATGATATGGCAAAAATGCCTGGCCTTCCTTGAAATTTTACATTTGCCCTGTGACCCAAAAGACGCTCGTGACAGTGTAGCCGATTGGTTAGCGTGTCAAGCTCCCATCATGCATTGTCTCGGTTCGACTCCCGTTGAGGGTGTTGACAAGACCGATGCGAATTCGAAACTGCAGTTCACCTCAG